GGCGTCGGTGTTGTTGCAGCCAGACCCCGCCGCGGCGCATGGCCACACCTACACGTTGCACAGTTTTTAGTACTTGAGACCTCGATCAATTGAGCTTCATTCGTAGAGTGCTAGGGAGGTGTTGGTTGAGGCCGAGGAGGCCCGTGCTCGTCGGCGTTTGGCCGGAGATGCCACGACCTCTGTTGAGTTCTGGCCAGGGACTTTATAACATGAATTTGAAGTGAACCGGGGGGTTAAGTGTGAGAGTCAGTGAGAGAGGGGAATAGGGGAAAGGACTGCGGTTTCATTTGGTTGAAAGCCGGGGGCTATTTTGCGTAAAAGTCGGCTCACGTGGGTCTTCCATTCGTGGGCCGAGCCGTGTTGGGCCGCACTGGCGCGTCGCGTGCATGCAGGCACTGTGCCGAGGTGGGCCGAGCCGCTCGCGCTCTGGGCCGCTCGGTGGATAAGGATTTCTATTTTCCAGTAAGATTATGAATGTTTATTCAATTTAGTTTTGAGCTAAACTTTGAAAAATAATAGTAAATTCTATAGATGTCCTAAAATAGTGAAACAAAATTTGTTAGGTTCACAAAAATGCTATCTATCTGTTGGTGTAGTTAGTTTACAGTTAGTTGTGATAATGATAGGGTCATAAATTCAAATTAGAAAGGTTAGTATTCTGTAGTTTAATATTTGTAGGAATTTTTGTGGCAAATTGATGATAACATTAGCCATGAAATTTTTATAGTAAGATCATTAGATTATTATGTACTCACTGTAATTTTTGTAGCCCTAGAGTATTTTGATAAATAGAGTAGCTAGTACCCCTTGTTTTATCTTATATAGAGTAAATCAGTATTAAGAGTAAGAATACCTTTAGTTGCTAAGATAATATATGTCATGCTTCATACTTGTTAATGGTAACAGTAGGTAACTTAGCACCTTAGTCAGTAGAACTAGCTTGGTAGCGTGATAGATGTATTTATATTTTAAGAGTTGTTGTTGCCATGTTACTAAGTGTTGCATCATCATTTCATGCATGTAGATCACAAGTTGGTAGAGTTCATGCCCATGGATGAATAGGACTACGAGGAGGTCATTGAAGAGTATGAGGAGGAGATCCTCGTGTAGGAGGGAGCCTCAGAGCCTTTTGGTGCTGACTTTGTTGACCCATCACCTACTCAAGGCAAGCCCCGGTGCATAACCCATATTTTATGATCACTGAATATGTATATGATGTGCATTTACGTTACATGCATTTTATGAAAACTACATGCATAAATATATATACCTATGAGTCCTACTAGTATAGGACGAGTAGATGCTATGCTCAGAATTTCGGTAGCTTGAGTAACCTGTCGTTACTCACAATTATTGATAATTATGATCACTCATGATAAATAATAGAAAGGAAAAGTGATGATCGGGTAGGGATATGGTTTGGCTACTGATTGGTGTAAGAGGTTGTGTCTGCGGCCAACAGGGCATAGCTTGGTTATACTTTTTTTCTGTCTGTATCGGTTAAGGACCAGCCATTGCAATGGACGCTAGGCAAGTCATAGATTTATTATCCCAAGCACATACTTGGGTATGGGTGCAGGGAAGGCTTGTTGCTCTCTTGTCATGGGTTCTGGCTCTTTCTAGACCGACTGATTGGAGGCGGGGATGGTGGAGGTCCTTGCACCGCACTAAGTCCGGGACTTAGAAGCGGGGGCTTAGAGTCCAAGTTTAGACGGGGACTTGGACCCCTTGACATGAGGGTGATGGGCTGGTCCTGCTTGTGCCTAGGGTACAAGCGGGGTGTGTGTTTTTGAGGTACCCAGCTAGGCATATTGGTTCATGAATTGCCGCTGAGTCGGTACGACTTGTCTTAACTCTAGCAGCGTAGTAAGAACTGAAAGCTAAAAGGTGATAAAATAGAACCGATTGCTCAACTTTTACTTGAAAGTAGAACATGTGCTTACATAGAATGGCTAGAGAATAAATTAATATGGCTATTAATTATAATATAAATAAGGACTCACTATTAGTATTGCTTTCTGCAAAAAGAAAACCAGCAAACCATAAAGATTGCATATCCCTTAGAGTCGGGAAACTATTTCCACTAGTCGGATAAGTCTTGCGAGTACATTGTGTACTCAGGGTTTATTTACCCATGCAGGTAATACTTGAGGAGTATCATTGTGTGAAGGATTCTTCCGGTGGGTACAGATGGATCCTTGTTCATTATCGCTAGATGGTTATTTTTAATTTCGCTATTTAATATTCCGCACGCTGACTTTGGAAATGTAATAATGTACTTTTTACGAACTCTGGATGTATGAAATGGATTAAGTATTGCAACTCGTTCTCATTATTGGATCCTTGGGGAAAATGTGGATCTTTTGGGCTGTCCCTCGGGGTGTGCCCGACGGATACCGTTCCCTGTAGCTTGCTTTCGGGGTGCTTAGTGTCTGGTGGAAGACGAATGCCTCTGTAAGAGTGTTATTTTGGACGGTTCTGCTACACTATTGGGCTAGTGAGCCCCCCTTGAAATTTCAGTCATAGATGTAAAAGGTAGGAGGGGCTGACGGCTGAGATTTGCTGGAGTCCCCCACTTTTGCTAATTGGGCCAGCAATCTTATGGAGATAGAGGATTCTCTCGGTCAAGGCCCAAGCCCAACCGGTGAAAGAAACCCTATCCCAAATTCCTAGCCCATCGTGACAACCTCACATCCCCAACCCATCGATATCGAGCAACGACTTCACGCACGGGTCCTATGACTACGACCAACGCGGCGACACGCTACTGCGGCTACGGCGGCGCGTGGGGCCACGGCCGGCAGAAGAGCGGGGAGCGGGCAGCCAGGAGTGGTGGGCGAGCGGTGCCACCTTCTAAGGACTTTAGACTCAATGCTAACTCTAAATATGTGCAACTTAACTATTGTGTCAAATAGAAAACCCAATTCAATGTATCGAGAAGGCAAAAAAAAGATTGTTAGACTCTAAACTAAATTTCTTCAGTTTGAAACTTGATACTTCATTCTATCTCACCAATGGAGCTTGGGAGAGGGATACTGTATCCACAAAAATGTTAATCTCGGGCTGCAACATTGCATATTAATTAGAATATTCCTTAATGTTATGCAGTCATCTCTAGCTCGTTAATGGTTGGATACATATAGCCAAACAATTCAGCTTCAGCACTCCTTTATTCAGATGCCTAGTTGAGTTCGAGAAATTGTTTGGCTTAAGCATTAAGATATTCTACTATCCGAATTAAATTTATTGGGGGCCCATATCCCCTATAGCCCCACATTCATTCGACCATGATCTAACCACCGGCGTGAGTCAAAATGTCTGTTCTTGCAAGGAACCTCCGTATGGTGGCACCAGTCTCTGAAAGAACAAAGAAGTGGATATCCAAAATGTCATCTCGGCGGCTCACGCGAGATCATCTTCGGAAGAGTCCAGAGAGGGGGAACCATAGGTGCGATGCCGGTATGCTCAGCTAGCGTAGGGATGCCAATTTTAACTGCAAACAGTAGTACAAGAGGAGCATGAATGGTTTTTTATTTTTACTAGCAAACATGCCTATACTTATAATGGAATTTGCACCTTGTGTCATCTATTCTAATATGTTTTGGAATCAAAACTCCGTATCATGGTTGTACGTGCACTATTCTAACTTGTATGAGCATGGATTGTCTATTCAGGTCATAAACGGAACAATAAGCCACCACTATACAAAATTTTCACTGCCAGTTGGGAAACACTCATCACCATTGGTTTCACCCCTCGTTGGCGAAAGTGAGTGGTGACAACCTGTTTATCACCACCGAATTGTATTACCAATCGATGATGATAATGGTTTATTTCAAATCAAAAGAAGCCCGATTAGCCATGACGATGAGCCTACTAGCCCATCATTTAAGCCAATTGCCGAGCTCCTTGCCATTGAGAAGCTTTGATCTATACAGGGATTTGGAGCGAGAAGACCACGGTGGGTAGACCCACACCAAGGGGGCGATGTGCTAGGTGTCTCCTGCACCGAAGGCCGTCGGGTCGTCCACGCTACCGGGGCACCATGCGTGGCTGCGTCGAAGGCCAGCCACGCTAGGGTACCACACCGGGCCGGTGCCGGAGGCCACCCACCTCGGCTACTAGCCCCTCTATGGGGGGACAAAGGGAAAGTAATGAGTACAGGAGGAATATAATAGGAAGGGAGGGAGAGAGAGAGAGACAGTGGGCGGTGGTAGAAAAGTATGAGTACGAACCTGTAGTGTGTCCATTGGTCTACCCCACTAGCACCAATCACAAAGTGACACGTGGGCAATTCGGCCTCACCTATCGTCTACCCTATGTGGTGGGGGTCACACATCATGTTGTTGGCGAAAACCATTTTTTAGTAGTGAACCAATTAGGGTTCTAATCTCTAATCTATCATGTACTACCACTTTTAGTAAAACAAGCTACGACGGCAAATGGTGGGACACATGGGTTGAGATAAAGATTTCCAAACAGGCCGGTTGAAACGGGCTGGCACAAGCCCGGTGCGAAAAAGCTCGGCCCTAGCCCGCCACAGCCATGCCCGTGCCTAGCCCGGCCCGGTACCGTGCCCGTGCCTGGGCCGAGGAGTCGGCCCGTAGTGCCGGCCCGGGCACGGCCCGTTACAACAGGCGGCACGATTCAGGCACGAAGGGGTGTCGGTGGGGCTGGGGGCCTACGGTACATAAGCCACCCACCGCGGCTGCCCCCCAGTCCCGCACCATCCAAACCCTAGCTCATTTCGCCTGCTCTTGTCTCCCTCGCGCCGCTCTCGTCTCGCTCGTCGCTCTCGCCCGTTGTCGTCTCGCTCCTCGCTCTCGCCCGTTCGCCTGATCCTCGCCTCGTTTCCCTGCTCCGCCATGTCCATGGCGTTCTCCGGTGGGTAAGGGGTCAGATTCGGTGGGTTCCGTCCTCAATCTCCGCCGTGGCCGCCCTCCCCCAGTCCCGCACCATCCAAACCCTAGCTCATTTCGCTTGCTCTCGTCTCCCTCGCGATGCTCTCGTCTCGCTTGTCGCTCTCGCCCGCTGTCGTCTTGCTCCTCGCTCTCGCCCGTTCGCCTGATCCTCGCCTCGTTCCCCTGCTCTGCCATGTCCATGGCGTTCTTCGATGGGTAAGGGGTCAGATCCGGTGGGTTTCGTCCTCAATCTCCCTGCTTTCCCTCTCTGCCCTCAATCTCCCTCTTCTCTCTCAGATCTGGTGGTTCCCACCTTCAATCTCCATCTATTCCCTTGTTCTTCATCCCTGAAAGTCGATTGGGACTCGTTCTTAGCATCCTCGATGCATCTCCGTCTTCTGTCCGTCGTTCTCATCGCCAGTCGCCGCCACCTCCGGGGCTCCGGTCTCCGTTGAGGTACCGGGGGTGTGGATCTGGTCCATCTCATCGTCATTTCTGGCGCTCCGGCTCAAGAGGTAAGCCCCCCCTACCCTAACCCTAATCCCCTACCCTAACCCCCTACCCTAACCCTAATCCCCTACTCTAACCGTCTTTTTCTATTGTTGATTGATGTAGCCGTTGAGGAACCGGAGACGACAAAGATGGCCCGAGGCGTAGGCGACACCGATGAAGGGGAGTTTGATCACTCCCAGAACGATGAGCTGCGGATGTGTGGGTTAGCCAGGGATGATGAGGAGGACGATGTCCGCGAGGACTGCGCCGATCTATTTGGGCGGTCTGCTGCTGATCCCCTTCCCTGTGACCAAGATGCGGTCCCGGTCCACGGGGAAGGGGCCGATCCCGATGCCGATGGTGGCGACAGTGAGGTGGCAGGCTCCAATCGGCCTTCTACCTCTGCTGTCTGGGATGATTTTGAGAAGCACTTCAAGAAGGTGCTAGGTAAGGCGAGACCCGTTAGGTATGCTGCCACTTGCAAACATTGCAAGAAACAATACTCTGCTTATTCTGCTAATGGCACTGGACATCTTACTCGACATCTTAAGGTTTGTGTTAAGCGTCGTGAGAAATGTCGCATGTCTCAAACTCAAATTGGTTTTAATTGTGATGGTTCTATTCGTCGCTGGGAGTACAATGCTGATGTAGCTCGTGTTGAGCTTATTCATATGCTTGCTAGGCTAGATTTACCTTTACTGATTGGTGAAACTGATGCCTTTAAAGATTACATTAAAACTGCTCATAACCCTGCCTTTGCACCTGTCTCTAAGCAAACTACTGCTAGAGATCTGTTTAAGCACTTCAATGGTAAACGTGAAAAATTAATGACTTGTTTGCAAGACAATGTTGTTTCATCTGTTGCTATTACCTCTGATATTTGGTCTGGAAAGGCTAAAGAAGATTATCTGTCTGTTGTGGCTCATTTTATTAATGCTGATTGGCAATTAGAGAAAAGGGTGCTTGGTTTAAGGTTGATTGATGTCTCCCATAATGCTGAAAACATTGTTGAGCGTGTTAAAACTGTCCTTGCTGAGTATGGTATACTTAACAAGGTTTTTTCTGTGACTTTGGATAATGCATCTGCCAATAAAAATGCAATGGATAAACTAAAACATATACTTAAAGAGTATTTAGGTGTTGATCTGTTTTTGCATCAACGATGTGCTTGTCATATTATTAACCTGATTGTTAAGGAAGCATTGGCTGCTGTTAATCTTCTCATTGACAACTTTAGAACTGCAATCTCTTTTTTGAACTCCTCTAATCAAAGAATTGCGACATACAAGAGTTATTGCATTGCTAGCAGTGTTAGACCTAGGAAGTTCCTGCATCCCTTTCTAGTAAAAAAAGAACAGCTTGGGCTGACATTTATGATGATGATGAGCTTGACATTGGAGCTGGCTGTTCTTCCCTCCCTCCTAATCTTGATCAGTCCAGGGGTGTTTCTACCACTTCTTTGCTACAGGCAGTTTCTGCTTCTAACTCTAGTGAGCTTGCATCCTACCTGGACTCTGACACAGTCAGTCAGTTAGATGATGATTTTGACCTCATGCAATGGTGGCATGAGCACAAGCTTACTTATCATGTGCTTTCTATTCTTGCAAAAGATATTTTTACTGTGCCTGTGTCAACCATTTCTTCAGAATCTACCTTTAGCACTACTGGCAGGATCATCGAGGAGCGTCGCCGGAGGCTGAACCCTGAGACTGTGGAGGCACTAACCTGCATCAAGGACTGGAAGAATGTTGAATCAAGACTGCAGCACATGGTGGAGGATAAGGAGCTGGAAGAGGCCTTTGAAGCACTTTATCTTGATGTTGATTAAGTTCCACATTTATGTAATGGTTCTGTAATAGCTATTAAGACTTGGACATGCTGGAGGCTGGATGTAATGAACTTATGAACAATCTTAGGAGCTGGCTGTACTTTTTTCCTGTTTAGGGTTTCTCACAAGGGTGAGTTTTACCTAAACAAGTTTTTAATGAGGCAGCCATTGCATAGCTCCTACTTTAATTAGTTTTAGTTTCAAAACTTGCCTGTTTTCTTTGCTGTTCTTTGCTCTTTGCTGTTTTTTTTCGGCATTGTCTGATGTTTTTGATGAGTTAGAAGTTATCTCTGTGAATTTATGATTTGAATGAATATTTTTGTAATTTCAGTGCCAGGGCCGGCACGGGGCACGCTGGGCTGCCGTGCCGGCACGGCACGCCAAGCACGGTCCAGCAAGTTTAGTGCCGTGCCTGGGCCTAAACTCCGGCACGGTGGCACGGCACGGCACGGCATGCCTCATTAACCGTGCCTGCCGTGCCGTGCCCAGGCGGGCAAGGACCGTGTAGTGCCGTGCCGGCACGTTTGGAAATCTTTAGGGTGAGAGAGCGCGCGATGAACCAAAATTTTGAAATAGTACATACACATAAACTAGTGAGATGAGCGGAAAGAATCCATTGTCCAGACGACGAAATATCATCATCTACGCCCATACATTTGCACGTAAATTTTTTTCGCGAGAACACAAAAACCCAACAAAATGAACAGGATGGATGCTCTAATTAATTAAATTGCCAGACGCCGACAAGAAAAGCGAAGACCCGTTTCACTCCATCACAAGTAATGTTTCGCGCGCTGGCTCCTCGCCTTTGCTACTGCCGCCGACGCTAGTACCCTGGCTCGACGGCGACGGAAATACCTGACGCGGCGACGCGAGAAGGCCGAGCGACGACAAGTACCTGTGCTTGAGCGCGTCCTCCTCGCGGCCGCCTTCGTCGAAGTTCTGCGCGTAACTGCGAGCGTCGTAGTGGAAATTCCCGGGCCGGCGGGGCGTGTGCTTGCCCGACCCGAAGCCGTGACCCTTCGATCGGATCCATGCTGTCGGAGACCGGAGAAGGGACGGCGACGCCGGCCGGTCCTGGTGGTGGTGGGCGGGGGCGGAGGCGTGTGCGTCGCTGCCGCAGGGAGCTGATGCCGGGCCAGAAGGGCGGCCGGACCAGCCGGAGCTTGCGGGAACGGGGACCTGGATGTGGAGGTGATTGAGTAGGCGCCGCCGGTGCAGCTTTGGAGAGCTATGAGGACGGTCCGTGCCGCCGGCCTTTGTGTTGTGTTCAGGTGTTGAGGCGGAGGCAGCAGCCATGAGAATTATTGTCTTTTTTATTATCGGAGCTGTTGAGCAAAACGAGAGGGGTTTCGCTGATCTCTGTTTCCCGTTCCCTCCTAGAGTGACAGATGAATATGATGATGACTGTAGTAAGGCGTTGCAAACTGCTTGTCTTTATATATAGCATTATTGTTCTCATCTAGATTTTCTTTAATTTTGTGTAGCATTTTTAATTTCGAGTAGCATTTTTAGATTCACTGCACGTCGTACTTTATGTTTCGTGCAATCAGCGCAAAGGAGTGACTTTCGTGAACGCGGAGAAAAGGCTGCGTGTGAGTCGTGCATGGCACAACAGTCGACACTCAACAGCCCTTCCGTCCGAGGTGATGAAGGATGAGCGGGATCTCCGACGTGCATGCATGTGCTGTGATATCCTTCCGATCGCCTGGTCGGTTCCACGACTCTCCTTCACCTCAGCCATGCCAGTGAAACCACCTTCACGACTTTTGTTATTTTGGAAACAGGAGGGAGGTATCTAACTAGATGGAGATAGGAGTATTTGTTGCCACTCTCAGTTTCCCATCACATTTAGAAAGACTCCGACGTAAATGACACATGGGAGAGAGAAAAAAAAACACTAACTTCTTGCTACTCTATACTCCCTCCATCCATAAATAATAACTGTCATTTTTTTTTCCGTGCCGTAAGTTTGACTACATTTGTATATCAAATAAATTGATTATGAAATAGATTCAATAATCTATCTAATGATATTAATTATGTACCATAAATATTAATATTTTTTATATAAAATTAGTCAAAGTTATTTGTCGGAAAGCGAGAACGATAGTTATTTACGGACGATGAGAGTACTACCAGCCTAGCCACTATTTTCTGTTTCATCTCCCAACCACCCTTGTGAAGTTGTTTTACTTTATTTCGTTTGGCACAAAATAGCTTCAAACAACTCTTGAAAGTGGTGGAGAAGTTGTGTCAAATGGAACCATAGTATAGCACATGTTTAGCTTAAAATTATCATGTTTTTTTTTGCAATGCACGGGTATAATCCTAATTCTTACAAAATTAGTTTAACACATGCTTAAAATATTGGTTTTACACTTTAAAAAAAAATTATCCACACTCCCAACTTCGGCCAGCAAAAGATATACATTTTTTTGAGAAATGCCAACGAAAGATGAGCACGGCGAGCCGGCGACAAGGAATGAAGAAATCAAGGCTGAAGGAGGAGTCGGAGGCGACCTCGCTCAATCAGTTGACCAAGGCCCTTGCCGAGACACCAATCAAAAGTCAATGACGAGCCTCCGTGGTCCGTGCAAACGAATTAACGCTAGGCCTTCGGAAGTCTGCCAGGCGATCAGAAAACAATTTTGGCCTAGGCATTAATGGGCCAAATGGGCTACATTTGGCCTAGTGCAAAAAGCATTAATGGGCCAAATGGGCTGTTTACTCGACTAATGATGTATTAGTATATGATTAGTAAATATCAAGTGAAATTAATTTGTTTTAAAGATGTTTAAGACATAATTAGATAAAATAAGAACTTTGGTTTACAAAATAAAAATCATAATCATAACCTTATAATATTTTGCCTGAACCAGACTGGCGGGATGCAGGGTTTGTCAGGAGCAGACAACCAAACAGCACCCTAAATTTATCATGAGGAAGGCCCTGATCTGCTCCTCTCAAGCAGAGCAGGGAACCTAAAAAGAGCCTCCAGCATATCCCGACGTCAGGCTACCACTGTCGTCCTATTGTGATTTGGGAGGATCATTGACTAGGCATGCCAAGTTGCCAACATGACTGTGCTGTGTCACCTATCCCCGAACACGTGCTTTGCGTAGAGTTCAGAATCCGTTGGCATGCAATGATACAAAAAAAAATCTCATTACGGTTGTCTAGGTAGAGCAGTTGTCATCAGTAGATAAGATACTCTGCTGCGTCATGTGCTTCGTACAGTCATACTGAAACGTTTGGAAACGAGCGATTGGAAGTCCCGTAATAAAATGCCGAAACCAGTTGTTCAGACTTCAGACAAGCAGAACAGTCGAACAGTATGGGCATATTCCCTTCAATTGTATCATGAATCAGATTTGCCTAACAAACCATACACCACTCGAGTCCCTACCAATAATATGCTAGGACAACTTTATACTCATCAGAGGGGACTCTGATTACCAATTACCAATGAACCTAAATTTTTGTACCACTGGCAACAATAGCCGCAATACCACCGTACAAGTCAATAACAATCTTGTGAACCCTCTCCTTGGGCATCTTCTGCAGCTGAAGAATCACCAGCCCTGAGGAAGAATCATAGGTGAACTCCAGCTGAGCTGAACCCAGCATGCACTTCCTTGGCCTGACTGAAGAGTAAGCTAGGAGCCGGAAGCTGAACCGTTGCCATCAAGCAGCTTCGCACCACCGAGGAGGTGGTTAGGTCAGGCCTTCCACCGCCCCACCGCTGAACATGTCAACCAGTCCGATCGGGGCGAACCTGAAACCAGGTGCCAAATCCTGCAGGAAGTACATATAATTTCATCAGTTACTTTACTTGTTCACCAACTTCAATAATTCACGTCACTTGACAAACGGGCAGTGAATGTGACTGACTGTGACGGACATTAATTGGTTCCTTATTTTTCTTATCATAAATGTTGCTCATCATAGTACAAGAGAAGATAGAGATAAGCGTGTGTTTAGTTGGTGAGGTGAAAATTTTAGGTGTCACATCGAAAGGATGTCGGAAGGATGTCGGGAGGGGTTTTTGATACTAATAAAAAAACAAATTACAGAACCCATCAGGAAACTGCGAGACGAATCTAATGATACTAAGTAATCGGTCATTAGCACATGTGAGTTACTGTAGCACTTAAGACTTTTCATGGACTAATTAGGCTTAAAAGATTCGTCTCGTGATTTCCAACCAAACTGTGCAATTAGTTTTTTTTTCGTCTACATTTAATGCTACATGCATGTGCCGCAAGATTCGATGTAATATTTTGGGTTGAAAATTTTTGGAACTAAACAGGGCCTAAGTACTCACAATAGCATTCTGTGCATTCTCAATAAAAACTGTCTTGCTGCTGCAGTGGGTTTCCTTGAATAGATCAATCGCGGTTGGGGTGCATCTTATATTTAGTTTGCTTCCGAGATTACATAGAAACCACAAATTAAACAAGTGACAGTTAATACTAATAACAGAAATAAACTAACTGGACCATGCAATTCAAAATTTTGATATATAGTTTATTAGTGGCCAAGTGGCACCTAAAGACTGCTCACCACCTTAACTGCATGCACTACTAATTGACCAACCAACAAGCAAAAGACTTTGACAAACAAAAGATAGGAACAATTAGCATGTTCATACAATTGTAGACAACGCAATGCAAACATACAATTCAGAGCTGACTGTTTCAGGCAAAGATCAAAACTAGCATGTCTACAGTACTCTGTTCTACTCTGTACATCTGTACAGAGAAGAAAACTGTACAGAGACCTAAAACAAAACAAAGCAGCACAGCTGTACACCTGTACGAACCCGAACAAAAAAGAGAGAAGGGGACTAGCTAACCAAATAGTCCTAACTCAGAAAGGGCAACAGTTAAACTTTTAAAATGAAATTTAGTTTTTGAATAGATTGAAGTAGATTAAAAATATTCTTAAAAATAGATACCAGAATATAACTGAAGTTTAGTGCACTTCTGAGAGAGAAAACATGATAGTGTGATGCCAAAATGACAAAAGTAGGCTAAACTTAAATAGACAAAAGTCTGGATAACACTGGGGGTATGAAGTGGCCTGTATTTTGATATGCTGTTAGATCATCATGCAATGTGACAGAAAATCGAAAGGTGCAGCGGTGATATGGTCTGCTGGTTCACACATACATGCAGCAGTTTGATGTGGCAACAGCCTGATTTCAAAATCATTTCTGTAAAAGGCTTAGGACTCTGAAATGCAAAGCCTAGACTATCCACCCCTCAATACAGAAACATTTGGACGCAACAGGGCATTTTTCATTTATGTCAAAAATCATAATAGTAGCTTATCGCGACATAGCAATGAGCGATGTAGGACCGAGATCCAGTCTTTTGCTGTAACTTTAGCTCACGGCTATCTTTGGCTTTCAGACACTTCTCCTGTAGAAAGGCAACCATTAGTGGGACAGGTGGCCCATTTACTTTACTTAAACATTTGCGAGTGATATTTAGAAAGGATACCTTGTGCTTTGAGTTAGACCACATCTCCAAAAGTTTTTTCCACTGCAATGATGTACCAGCAAATGAAGTGAGAACAACTTCACTCAACATGTGCCTCATTCCGCTGTCCTTTTTTGAGTATATCTGAGCATGCATCTTTCACTGGCTGACTGTTTATGTCAATGTCGAATTGAATCTGCACAAGAGCATGAACATATGGTTAAAAGACACTCAAAGCATATAATTATGGTATGAGAAGTAACATAACATGCATATTCAAGAGCTAATTATGCTATGTGAGAAAACATAACAGCAGCAGATTATTTAACAAGTCAGCCTCATTTTTTCAATGGGATAGAACCATTTCAATTTGGATTGTGACTTTTAGTGGCTGGAATGACAGCTGAAATTTTAGCTAAAGAAAATGATAAGAACATGTACACTAGCATGCACCTAGACACCGGGTTATTTCCAACAGTAACTGCTACAGTGCTACTTGTGCAACATCCTTTCCTAATCTGATCTACAGTATCTTGCAGCAACGTATGATTGCCAGTGCATGAAAGAAAAAAGAGCCAAATTTCATTTCTACAATTATTTGTAAGGTGTTAATTCTTGGACTGTGTAAATGAAAACAGATACGTATGCATGAACTTTATTCAGGTTTGTGATGGAACACTTGATGTGTTGTCGTTCTCAACCAGAGCACACGTACAATTAATATATTAGTTGCTGCAACACACCTATACAAGACGTTCTTTAGATTCCAAATTTTTTCACTCTCTCTCTATCACATGTATGGAGCATTAAATGTAGATAAAAAAATAACTAATTATATAGTTTGATTGTAAATTACGAGATGAATCTTTTGAACCTAGTTAGACCATGATTGGACAATAATTATCAAATACAAACGAAAATGTTACGGTGTCAAATACTGATTCCTAACCGCGAACTAAACAAGACCCAAACTTAAAAAAAAAGAGAACTCCGCTGTGCTACTGCTGCATGCTGCAGCTGCAGAGCATCAGCCGGCCACTAATGCAGAGCACACACTAATGCAAAACAGCAGCAGCTACAGTCAGCCGGAAGTAGCTCATCTAATCAGGCCCGTTATCCACTGCTCCAATCAGTAACTAACTAATAATTGTTGGCCCACAGATCACCGGCTCAG